TCGAGTTATAATACACAGGCCGAGTAAAAACTTAGTGGAAAATTACTCACTATTTCACTTCTACTATACGATTTAATAAATGGCTTTTAACTGAGTGGAGTGAGAATAACTCCTTGAAATTGAAAGTAGCTATATGTCGTAAGTCGAACTAAATATTTCAACATATTTCATATAGGTTAGTTTAGTTTTCAGTATTTTGACCTAATCATAATGGTTATAATGACCTATTTGGGAATAATAACCAATCGCTAAATTTGCTTAACCAAAAAGATTGGTTAAATTAACCTATTTTTATTGGTCGCAAAATTTGACCTGATAATAATAGGTTATTTTAACTAATTTAAATCGGTTCTAACCCATTCAATTGGTTAAAACAACCTTTAATTATTGGTTACAACCTTTAGAAATAGGTTGTTTTAACCTATCAGTTTTTACAGTGTATATACACAACTTTTGCCTAAAAGGCTAAAACAATCGCAATCAACCTGCTAACAACTTGAGTTGTACATGTGTAAATCAAGTGCACACTCACACAACTTGCCTATACGTTGTCTTAATTAAGTGAGCTATGGTCTTGATTTTTAAGTATTTTTACCCATCTGATCATACCTGTAACAGGCAAAATGAACTGAAGTTGTGTATTGCAAATAGGCCTTAAAGCTAAACTAATTCTCAAATGATGCTCGCTATTAAAATCTAAATCCACACCATATAAATATTTTACAAATGACTTTTACTAATAGCTGACTAGCAATGGTTCATAATTTCCCTTTCCTCTTAGGCTACATTTTGTCACATTTTACTCAGCATACTGAAGCAAAGATTAGCAAATTTCTCCACGTGCTTAGTATGTACTGCATCATTAGTGGTAAATTGCCAGGTCATTTTACCATTAATAGTGTGGATAAAATGGAAAAATGTATAAGCCGTTCCATGAGTAAGAGCATTAATAAAACATTCGTGTAGTATATACGTCCCAGGTTGACGATTGCCGAAATTGAAACATCCAAAACTTGATATAAAATTGCAGCCGCCTTTCACAAATAAATCATCACTGACGCTGAGATTGAACAGATTTCTTGGTTTGAGTAGTCCATTCACGAGTGTCGCTTCGGATACATATGCTTCTTTCCTAACAAAATCCTTTATTCGCTGCGTAGTTTCTTGGGCTAATTTCCAGAAGTCTGCAGTATCACCAGCCGGATATTTCATGTAAATATTTTCACACCCATACACAAAATATCCAAGGTATTCTTTGGGCGGTTTCGGATCACAGAAGCGTTGTGCATTGATGCTAAACGGCAATCCTAACTCCATTTTAGAATTTGGTTGCCCGGGCCCTATAAGCTTACAAAAAGCTAAATGGGCTGCAGCTGCGATAGCTCCTGTTACTGAGCAATTCTTCCTTTTGCAGGCTTGCACAATACCCTTCGTTTCTTCCTCAGTAAAAACCTTTACGCTCAGTCGACATGGTACAGCAGTAGAAACCTCCGAGTTCCGAGGAAACTGTGTATGATACGGATTATCCGGCTTCTTTTGTAATTCTCGATTCATCATTTTTTCCATGCAAAATTTCAGGATCGGTCGTAGGCCACAATAAGCCAGCAAAAAGTTAAACAATAAATGCCAAATGCGTCCCCGTGTGACAATCTCGTGATAAAATGGCAGCAGATCAAGGCTTAAAATTTCTTCGTCTGCAGAGCTGGTACCTTTTGCAAGTTCATTCATATAATTAAGAAATTGCTCGCAAAACTTCACAGAGCACACGCCATCAATACAGGAATGGTTGAAGTTAAACATTAACGTATTTGCATAATCTTTAGTATTCGGTATGAATTCCTCTTGTAATATTACGACTCGCCATAACAGACCATTCCCTCTCGGTTTTGCTGTATATTCAAACCAAACACTTTGCCAGTCAGAAGCCTTTACATCAGAAGTGGTAATGTCTAACATTGTAATGACTTCATTGATTTCCTTGATTTCGAAATATCTATCTCCATTCGCCATAGTTGCTATCACTGCTCGAAGCATCGGCTGTCGTTTGGATAACAGCACCAGAGCGTCATAAACGTGCTGGTATACCAGACTCTGTTTTGATGTTATTGATATCGACACACATACATTGGTTGAACCAGATTTTTCCATGGAAAACATATCGAGTAGTTCTTCCAAATGGCCAAGTCGACGTCGGTTGGAACCGGCTGAGTTTGGTGACAATACTCTTGCTTCGCCAGCCAGGTATTTCATGATCTTTGAAAGCTTGTATAAAACAAATACACAGATTACAGTGAGAAATGCTTGTACCCAGAATCCACTTAACATCTTGAATGACATCTGAATGCAAAACTAAACCTACTGTACGTACCAGGTAGACGTTTTGTTAGTTGTACAACTGTCTGCCTTTCAAGTGTAGCAATATAGTTGCAAAATCTGCAATTTTAATATATTACGTGCTTTCAGGCGTGCCCCACGGCCACCAATAGAATAGATCATTGAAAAAGATTGAGTAATTACAATATATGAATAATTGAGACGTTGTCCTCGCTCTGTTTGACAACGCAAACCATAGATTTTCACGTCTTGATACAACGGCTGCATTCCAAGCCGCTACAAGAACAACTTTAATTAAACTGGGTTTAGTAGAACTATTCCCAACCATAAAACCTATATCTTCAACGATTGATAATATACCACGAATTATCTTTACGACCATTTATTTGAAGGAGTTTATTTTTGTCGTCGCGTGCCGTCCTAAAATCATAAGGTTTGTATCACTAGAATTGAGCGTCCGCCATGTGGGTGGAATGGTGTTGCTATAAATATCGCAGTGAAAATAGTTGTATTTAATTTATTTTGCCTTTTACTTCAACATGCCGGATTTTCCTAGCTTTAAACTGTTCAAAGGACAAATCAAAACGTAAAGACCTTTCTTTCTGCCGGAAGCCAAGAATAATTAAAAACCAAAGCGAAGAAACGGAGATTTTGTCAACAGAACGCAGCCGATAGATCGGAATGTGGCTGTTGGCCTTAAGGGTAAAAGACTTAACGGCAGAGAACATACTTCAAAATATCATCGCGTACATTTATACCATATCTTTCTAGCTATACACCATGTTCTGACTTTGATAAATTTTTTTTTGCCGGGGACGATGATAAAGTAAAATGTTATACACGTTTGGCTTTCTTTGAAATTGTACATAGACAAACTAATCTACTTGCAAGAACACAAACTTTCTCATCGGCAGCATAACACAGTTAAAAGTTTTAATTGGAATTCCATCGCAAGGAACAATTTACTTTGTACGTACGGAGGACGATAAGGGCCACCTCAGTCTGCGACTGAGCTGCGTGGAAATGCGACTTTGCTGCATGGACGTGCGAGTTTGTTCCGTGGAAATTGACGATGTCCTTACAAATGATAGAAACACGAATGTTGTTTTTCAGAAGCTGACACTCAGCATGTCATTACAAACGTTTCTATGAGAAATATTCATCTTAACCCTCAAAATCTGCTTCTTTGTGCGTCCGTGCAAATAAATATTGTTTTCTAAAAATTGTACAAAATACAAAACTCAAAGGGTAAGAGAATATTAATAGTTTCATGACACAACGAGGTCCAATATGGAATGGTATAATAGATCCATCAAAGATAAAGGGTTTTGAAAGCAAATAGATCAACGATAAAGGGTTTTTCTTTGTTTATTTATTTTATTGTTACGATTACCGATGTGATTCCTATTTATAGAGACAATGAAATCTTGTGCCATTATCGGGAGCATTTCCCAGACAACACAAATTTTTGCAAAATTGAATTGTGGAAAGATGCTCCTCACCAAGAAGAGTTATAACTTTTTAACTTGAAAATAATTGCATGCAGAAACCCTCGCCTTACTGACAAAACGTTATGTTTTCTGAATATGAAGAATTGAAAGTAGTTGTCATGGTAACACGATAATTTTAAGAATAGGTTTAAAATTGAGAAATTCCCCCCAAATATCACTTTTAAAACAAAATTATCAATTTCCCAAACATGTATATGCTATGCATGTATGTTATTATACGTAACACAAGCTTCAATTTAATGTAACTGAATTCAACCACAAACGTTCTTAAAACTAATCGGCTTTTTATCGAATTATCGGTAAACATTGAGTTTAAAATAAACTGTAAAACAGATTTCAAATTCTCACATGAAAATAACTTTGCTTTCCTCTTTATTTAAATACTTTAATATACAAAAGAAAGGGTAATTAATAAAACTACACTGAAATTATATGCTGTCTTTTTTCACTTATATACACAATGATAGTACAGTATTACTATTAACTATCAGTTCAATATTCGCAGTATCGCCCACCACGTACTATCAGTTATAAATATATCAATTATAAAACAAACAATGCAAACTTACCTTCATTAACGTCGGCGAATTTGCTCTATTCTTTTAGACATTTTTAGACGTTTTTCGGCTCTCAAAAAGGTTTTGTAATTTACAAAATCTTGCAAAAATACAACTTGCAAGAAAATAATGTTCGTTATCCACCCATGAACCATGAACGATGAACGGTGAGCCATGCGCCCACGATATTTGATGAACTTTACACTTGGCTAGTGCGTTCCTTTTCCCGGGTGTAAATAGCCGGGCGGAATTAGTACCCTCGCACGGCGCTTCGCGCCGTCGGCTCGGGGAAAATATATAATTATAAATGCATGGGTGGAGAAGTTAATAGGGAGCAAAAGTGGAAGTGACCAACTCGAAATCTATAATGTGCATTGAGGCTAATTGTTTTACTGGCATTGGTTCATTGAGAAAACTGGAGTTCTATAATCTTGCTGGAGCTACTGTCTAAGGGGGTGCTTATATGTAGACGACCCAGCCCAGGTACCTGAGCTAGCTCGCTTTGCCGAGCTGATTTTCCCCCTGTTTACATGAGACTTTTGAGGCTGGCTAGTAGTCGTTTATTTTGGCAGGTCAGCTATGAACAGTATAATATAAATATATTTTCTCACAACCTGAAACACTTTCCCGAGCAACTATTCACGGTTATAAGCCACAGAATCGTCACAGAGACCTTTTAGACCAAAACTGATATGTCGAGAAATCTTATTCACGGCAATATATCAGTTCGCGTTAATTAGTGAGCAATAACACTCAGTCGACTGCTTAGCGGAGCACCACCATGCAGTAATCGCGTTTATATGAAAAATTCCCAGTCCGGTCGCCTGAGACCTCAAGTCAATTGAGGCTGAATGTCGCTTAGGCGGGCCTGCTCGCCAGCTCGGTTCTCATATAAACCCAAAATGAAATTTAGTATATCGCGGGATCTCGCCTAAATGGGCCAGCTCAGGTACGCTCCATGTAAACAGCCCATAACTCCAGAATTTTTTGAAACTGCTACTGCCACAATATTAGCCTTTAATAAACAGAAGATTTTATCATGGCATAACATTTTAAGTGCGCATCTTTTTAATTTATAATATACTGTACTTGTAGCTCCTGTGAGCCCAGCTAGTGTACATGTTTTGGCAAATTAGCCCGTCTCAAAAATCACATGTAAACGCGGAATGAAATCAGCTCGGCAACGCAGGCTAGCTCTGGTACCCGGGTTGGCTCGCCAACATATAAACATCACTTTAGACAATAGCTCCAGCAATATGGTAAAACTCCGTATGTTTCAATGAACAAATAAGTGAGTAAAAATTAGCCCAAATGCACATTACGTGGTCGAGCAGAAAACTCGTGCTCGTGCAAGCAGCAAACAACTTAACGCTTTTAAAATTTCAAAATGAATCTTGAGCAAACCAATAATGGAAGCCTTTCACCGACGGCATTTCTATAAACGCTAAAGACAAATTGATATGGAGTGGATCTTACGAGGCATTGCAGATGTTTATGGAAGAAGTCCTTAATATGTGTGACGACGGTATTTGGTACTGCCCAGGAGGTGATGCGAAGCGATACCACCTCATATCTATATTACGACTCTTGTATCAAGACTCCAAATCTATTACATTAAGTGGCGAACTTAAGGATGAAATTAAAGAAAGTTAATATCGCTGGCATCAGTTACAGAACAAGTAAAAAAATTCTGAACATTAAAGCGGACTTGATGACGGCCATCGCTACGAAGTACATGCAAAGGTCTGCAAATCCTAATCGGTTTGATGCTCGTCAACTGTCCCTAAAGACTGTTAAAAATCAACTAGAACCTCTCACTACAGCCCACCTCAAAATTCACATGTAAACGTGGGATGAAATCAGCTCGGCAACGCGAGCTAGCACGGGTACTCTCGCGTACATATAACTATAAACAGCTCTTTAGACAATAGCTCCAGGGACATGATAAAACTCCAGAGTTTTCAATGAACAAATAAGTCAGTAAAAAAATTAGCCCATGCAAATGCACATTATAGATTGGAGTTAGTCACTTCAACTTTGCATGGCTCCCTATTAATATTTCCATCCATGCATTTATAATATATTTCCAAAACATTATAATACAATACTTAGTGAGCAGCATCTTTTCACAATTTGGTAAAAAACTTTGGGTGTTGTCTGGAAAATGCTCCTCACAATGACCATGCAGTGGCACACATTCAGCAAATCGCTGGGGGTTGTCCAACGATTTGGGACCGACTTTCTTGTACTCTGTAACCAGTAGCAGCGGAACAGGTTTATTTTGGGGAGGCTAATAAATTCCATCTATAGACTGAGATCCATGCATAGTTAAGATTTTCAGCCAAGTGCAAATGTAACAGAGTACCATAATACGAGCGGTGAAAATTAGGGGGGTCTGGGGGCAAGCTTCCTGTGAAAAAGTTCCGCAAAATTGAGGCTAAGAAATGCCATTTCCTTCATTTTTCGGCACGGAGTTGAATAATTTGGATAAAAAAATGCTCCTGTCTGCACCAGACATTTGTGGCTTGTGGATTAAGATATCTGAAGTGATCAAGGAGAGAGACAGAAAATTATTTAGCAAAATCGCATCTAATCCAGAACATGCCCTACCAGGGCCGTAGCGAAGGGGGGTATTGGGGGGTGGTTAACCTCCCCCCAACCTTTTTAGAATTAACATATTCGGAAAATCGGGTTGGTCATTCGGAAAATTACGGCAGTAATAGTATAACAAAATTTTAGTTGTTTA